TGAAGCTAACATTACCTGAAAAAATCATTATAGCCAAGACATGGGGACAACTTTCTGAAGATTCTGTGCCTCAAGGGACTTCCCTGACTAAGAACCTTTTGGAATGGGATATAGTTTTATAGAGCATTATACTCATAAGCCTGGGCAAGATCTTTCTGGAAATTCAGAGAAAAAAGTGCAAAATGGCCTTCTATAGGCGCCCCAAAAGCTCCTCACGTAGAGCTCCATCATTTTTTTATCTTTGTTCCTTGTTGGGTATCAATGCAGCATTTCTCTTATAAATAACTGCATATCTTTCATAATTTTTTTAGCTAGCTTCTGAAAACCAGATTCAAAAGATCTCAAGGTATGCATTGTTTGGGCACTTGATAAATGTGACCAAATATCTTTCTGAAAGGTTGTAGTAACTTACACACTCAGCACCGGTGTAGAAGAGGGCCCTTTTCATCTGACTGTACCAAGGTCATTAGGGTATGTCTATGTTGTTGTTTTTAATACTATATTAATTTTAATTTATGAAATATTAAATTACATTATAGGAAATTAGAAAACAAACCAAAAGTGGGAAATTGTAAATTGTGTGTAATCCTGGTACTCAGATATAACCACAGCATCACCCCTGGGTTTTATTTCTGGACTTTTTCTTACAAATACTGGTTTATGATTTATATATATATATACAGAATGTGAACAGTATATACAGCATCCTCTGTCATGACCTGCTTTTATGCGAACCATAATAAAAACAATAACATTGTGGATGTCTTTGCGGTTCAAAAGGTGTTCATGCAGAGCATCATAGTTGTGGTTGAACAATGTTGCATGATGCAGCTATATAAATGTGTCCTAAGATAGTCATTCGCCACAGCTTTCCTATAAATGTGACAATGTTGAAAACAGGTACAGGTAAATTTAATAACTCTTCATCCTATCATTTACACTAAATTCCTAGAATTAGAAATGCAACATCAAAGGCTTGTATTTTTTAAAGGTGTGCTCCCGCCCAGAAAAGTTATTTGCGTTTTTATTTCCATCGGCTGTGCATGCGAGTCGTGCTCTGAGTCTCTGCCGACACTGAGCTGTTTGGGAAGTCCTTTCCAACTTGAAAAGGAGCTATTGACATCTCACTTGTCCAAATAGCTATCTGATTATTACGGAGATTTTATGGTTTTTTTATAGATGCTTATCAGCTAAAACACATCTTTGGTAAAGTATCCATTTGTATCACTTGTTCATTTTATGTGCTATTTGGACCACTGTGACAGAGTTAAAAGAAAATTTTAAATATTAGGAGTTGCTTATGGCATATGTGTGTATATATACACATATGCAGATATATACACCAATTTATACCTGTTTATCATTTGCCTTTCTGCTGTATAATTCCACATGGTTATAAAAGTATAAACATTTTAACTTGCGCAATGAAATAAGTCTTTCATTTGTCCTATCTTTGTTGTTGTTGATACTTTTTTAAAAAACTGCCCTCCAAAGATAATGCAAATATTTCTATTTTCTTCTGGTATTTATATGAATTTATCTTGAAATTTAGATACTTTTTACACCGAATCACGAATGCTGTGACGTGTGACAGGAACTGTGCCTCGGTATCCCCCGCCCCCACAGAATTCAGCTCCTGGCTGCTTCATTTCATCTCCAGACATCTGAAATGTCCAAAAGCACCCACATAATGTCAAATGATAATATAATGCTGAGACTTTATTACTAACAGTGCTTTTCATTATCTTAGCGAAATAGTTAAGTAGGAAAATCCTGCAAAAACTCTTGTTTGCAATAATCGTCATGAGCATAAATTCCCAGGAATAAGTCATTTGTTAAAGAAGTGATGTAACGTCCCCACAGAAGATTCTTTTCCCATTATTCATAGTACGATGTAGAAGGATATTTAATAAACAAGGAAACAATTCAAACCCACTAGCTCTTCTGGGGGAGCAAGGGGAGGCCGTCTGCTCCCATAAAGACTCACAACCTTTCAGAACGATAAGGGCAACAAAGGTGCAAATGTGCTTGACACAATGGATGCTTGTATGGGTTGTGATAAGAGTTGTATGAGCCCCCAATAAAATGATTTTTAAAAGAAGTCTAAACTAGGGGGAAACAAAATTCACAATCTCAGAAACCCAATCCCGGGAGCCATGAGTCTGACTGGACTCACAGGCAGTGTGCTATGTGTGTGTTTGCCTCCTTGTTACGTTTTAATGTAATGATATCATCATACTGTGTACTTGTCGCCATTAGATAACAATTTTGTATATTCATGCATATAGGAAAATGAATGAAGCAGATGGTATTTTAGGTTCATACCTGCTGTGAGATTATATACATTTTCATGCTCTAAGCTCCTCTCCACTGTCCAATTTTTAAAAATGTCCATGTATCATTTTTGTAATGAAGATATAAATAGCAAGAGACCACAACACATTCTTACTCTTCCTGAGAAGTTATCATTTTTCTCCTTAAAGCTTTATTCTTTTCAGACCTGAGATGAGTTACAGAAAGACACAAGGCCAGCTCTACGCGACAGGAACAGGGCCATTGTGAGTTGGAATCAACTCCGTGACCGTGAGTCTTTCGAAGGATCCCTAGAGGTGCTGTCGGTCAACTGAATGGCTAGTGGAAAGGTTGATGGTTCAAACTCACCAGCTGCTCCGCTGGAGAAAGATGAGGCTGTCAGCTCCCATAAACACTTGCAAGGCCTTGGCCATCCTATATAGAGTCACTATGAATCGGAATTGACTCAATAGCAGTTCGTTTCTTTCTTTTTTCTTTGTTTTGGGGGGGTCAGAGGGCGTGTAGAATTCTGATAAAACCAGGATATCGCTGAATAGCTTTGAACACGTGCATCATACTGTTTGGGCGCATGTCACATGCATGTAGACATTCCTGTGCCATTTTCTCATTGTCTCATCTGGCCTCGTGGCCAGGCAGTGGCTGAGCTAGGAAAAGAACCCAATCTTTGAAGTAATGTACCCTCTGTGCCCGCCCCGTAGAAACAGATGACACTAAGCTGCGCTTTTTATTGACGGAGACGCCAATGCGGGAGGGCCATCGCCCTTACTGTCTGGCGGCAGGAAGAATCACCGCAGTCGGAGCCTAGAACCAATTGCCTTTGACGAGGCCTAGGTTGTTGATAAGAGAAGGAAGCCTGGTTGCCACACTTCAGTTCACTGGACAAGAACCTCATCTCTCCTGAGGTCTGTGTGGCCTTTGCTGGCCCCCATCATGGCACAGACCCCCAGAACACTCCCCATGACCTGCCTAACCAGGGGCCTGCTGGCATGTCAAGGACCCTCAAACAAGAGAGCTGTCCTCTTCCAGAATGACCACTTTATTTAACTACACACCCCACCCATCCCTCCCCAATACACAAACGTCTTATCCTCACCCATCTTGAGACTAATCTGTGGGTCCAGAGTTACCTTACCTAATCAGTTCATTGCGACTACCCTCACCCTGACATCTCCAACACATAGGCTCTGGGTGGGGGACCCGCTGTGCTGGCTGTCCCTGACATGTACTTTACACCCCCCTGGGAGTGGCCTTCTTACTCACGTATCACGACAGCCATGAAAACCCAATGGGGTGAGGAGAAGAGACCTGGGCCCGAGATCCGAGATTTACGGCCAAAGCCCCCCCCTCCTCTCTCTCCCCCCACCCATGCCTTCCATCCAGAAATCCTGTTGCTCTACTTGCAAATTTAACCTGGAACTGGACCCCATCCCTCCAGCCACAACCATCCCCGCGATTCTAAACACCATCACCTCTGACCCAGCCTGACCAGCAACCCCCCACCCCGCCCTTATCCTGGCCAAAGCCTGTCTCAGAATACAAAGGCCAGAGCCACCCTTTGATAGCATGGGTGCCCAAATGGCACATCTCTGCTCAGAACCCTATAACGGCTCCTCGTGGCCCTCAGTCCTTATAATGGCCGATAGAGCCCCCTGAGGGCCCCTGCCATCTTTCTGATCGCCTTCCTATTATTTTATTCCTTGGCTCTGCTCCACTCACCCTGTGCCCCTCGCGATTCCTGACCTGGCTCCAGCCACAGCACTCTGGGCCTTTGCACAGGCTGTTCCCTCTGCAGGTCCTTGGCCCGGCCATCTCCCTCACTTCCTGCGTGTTTACCCAGAAGTCACTCTGTCCACCAGGTCCGCCCTGAGCCCCCATGTGGGCGTGTAGCCCCTGGCCTGCGTGCTCCACTCAGGCAATCTTTCTCTCTTTCCACAGCAGAGCTCAGCTTTTCTAGGAAACTATACTCCTCCCTTGTAGGATCACATGTTGCCTTTCGGTCTCCCCCAGAGTCTAAGTGCCACAGCGTTTTGTGTTTGATCTGTTTTATTCCCGTGTTGTTTTTTTCCAGTCCCCCTGCAGAGCATCTGACACATATGATGTGTCTATAACATATGTGATGTGTCTATAACACATCACAGACAAACAAATGAAAGCACCACACCAGGTCCCCTGAACCAAACCCATGCCCTTCAAGCCTTTATCCTCACCACCACCGCCGCTGCCATGACCACGCAGCCAGCACGGATTCAGAGCTCCATCTCAGCAAACCCTGCCAGGCCTAGCCCTTTAGGAGCTCCCCAAAGGACCACACTGTCACTTTGCACGCCAGCGTACGCGCCCAGCAAATGGCGCGTCGGAAAGAGCCACCTCCTCCCAAATAGACAGCTGGGTCGTCGCAGCGCGAAGGCCCTCGTGGAGAGAAAGGGGTCCTGGCAGGAGGAGGGTCCCAGAGCCGACACCTGCCTCCCCACGGCACTGTTCAGGGACCTGCCTTCCTGGCCAGATCAGACAGCCGCTCAAAGTGGCCTCCGTGTGTCCACCAAGCACCCTCCTCCAGGCCGGGAACGGGACAGCCCTAGTCCTGCCCGGGGAGGAAAGGCCGGGACGGTACCTGCGGCTTCGTGTCCTCTTCGTCCTTGTAGTAATAGAGCTGCTGCGCCCGGAGCACGAAGTAACGCTGCTGCCAGTTCTTCACAATGGACCGCTGCTTCTTGAGCCAGCCCATCTTGATGGGCCTCTCCAGCGGGTTGGGAGCCGACGAGGGGTGGAGGGCAGCCATCTGCTCGCCAGTCATCACACTCTGGGAGCGCACTGCGGAGAGGAAGGGACAGGCAGGCTGACCGAGGGCGGAGAGGCGAGCGAGACACCCACCCCCACCCCACCCCAGCTGGGTCCGCCACAACAAGGCGAAGCAGCCAATGTTGGCCAGTGAGACAGCCCGCCGACCTGCTCCCGAGGAGGGCTGGGAGGTGGGAGCCGGCGGCCTGGCGCACAGGCAGTCGGGCCGCTGATGGCGGGCGGCCCCCTCATTCTGCAAAGTGAAAGAGTGGCTGGAGTCAGCTCAAGAGGAAGTGGCCGCAGCATCCGACAGAAAGGGCCTTCCTTTTTCCTGCGTGGGAGTCGGTATCTGACAAGAGGGGCCAGAAAAGAATGTCTGGCCTGAGGGTGAA